GGTTGTACTTCTTGCGTTGCAGCAGGAAGTAAATTCTCTGTTGGGTCTTCCTCCAAACAATGTCTATGTGTGAGGACCATCTCAGGTCTCGAGAAAGGGTGGTTTCTAGGAAATGGAAGTGATCCTCAGTAGACACAGTGGTGTTGTGGATGATGAGGGGAGACATTTTTCAACATTTGTTTATACAGGTTTATGCCATTGAGCCTTGAGGACTCATTTACAAGAGAGACCTGATTTTAACAAAGAGTGATGACAACAGCAGACAACAAAGACCACAGTAGACAATCATAAAGGATGCATACAAATTGAGAATAACAAGTGAAATAAAATGGTGTTAAAATGTTTTTAAAAAAGCTAGGTTGTAAGGCAATGTAGAATACTAAAAACAGAAACATGTCTGCATTGGTGTTTGCCAGGAACTTAGCAGATGTTTGAGAGGTCAAGGTCGAGAGCTTCAGTTCTTTTGCAAGATGTTCCAGGAAACAGGAGCAGAGTAGGAGAAGGCCCTATTGGGGTGATTCTACCGAAGTTCACTGACATTTCCAGTCTTGAGCGGGTCAGGTTCAAAGTAGTTTTGATCACACCAATGAACAGCCGATCAAACTCCTGAATGCATGCAGACTTGTCCTTGTCCAATATCAGACCATTAATAGTAGTGTCATTTGCAAACTTCAGGAGTTTCACAGACCAGTCCACTGGGGTGCAGTCATTTGTGTACAGAGACAAGAGGAGTGGTAAAAGAACACGCCCCAGAGAGGCACCGGTGCTGATGGTTCTCGTGCAAGAGAAGATGTTCTTCAACCTCACCTGCTGCTGCCAGTCAGTCAGGAAGCTGGTGATCCACTGACAAGTAGAGGCCAACACTGTGAGCTGGGTGAGCTTCTGATGGAGGATGTCTAGGTGAATGGTGTTGAAGGATGAGCTGAAGTTCTCAAACAGGATCCAGGTATACGTCCTTGGGTGGTTGAGGAGGAGCAGGATGAAGTATAGTCCCAAACTGGCTGCATCAATGGCAATCCTCTTTGCTCGGTAACCAAACTGCAGGGGGTCCAGCAGAGGACCTGTGATGTCCTTCAGATGCTTCAAAAATAGTCAGTCAAAGAATTGCATGACCACAGATGTCAAGGCAGCAGGTCTCTAGTAACCTATGCCAAAGTAAAGTTTTTTGTATACAGTTGTAGTGTGTCAAGGTCTAGGTTAGCTGTACTCTCACTACAATTATATTTAAATAACGGGTTCTCTCTTTTTTGAGCTAATTACAGCCATGTGACAGAAGTAACTGTGCGTAGATGGTTTAATCAGTGACATGAGACGTTAATTTTCTTTGACCCATCAAAATAAATGGGGTCATTTATTGAACAGAATCAAAATTTAACATCAAAACATTGTACACTTGATTAGACTGATCTGGTTCTGATTAATAAAACTTGGCACGTTTTACTTAATAAAAACAACAGACATTTCTGAAGGCATCTAGATTAATTACTGGCAAGATAGAGGTTTAAAGATGGGAAAATGGAGGAGTTTAAAAACAGCACTTTGAAGTAAGATGCATGTCTGTGGACCAGAACAGCACGCTCCTTTCAAACGCAGCTCGCCCTCGGTCCACTTAGTGCGTGAATCTCGTGACGACTCTTTACCTTGGCAGAGGATGGGTCTGCTATGGTCAAGAGGTCCCTGGCACGCTACCTTTCAGCATCTCCTCAGGGCGGCTGCGACTCAGCAGAAGTCTTGAGATACTCCGTTCAACAGAACAAACTTCCTCAGAAGTTGTAGGGCATTCGCCCGGGTGAAGTCACAGCGAGGCACCGTGACTCCTGCAGAGATGGATGACTCCATCAGACTGGAAAGCTGAGTCCGAAGTTCCACTCAGCAGTGGAAAAACTCCATGAAGACTGAGAACTGCAGAACTGCCACACTGACTCCAGAACTCCACTCCAGAGCTCCACTCCAGAACTCCAGAACTGAACTCCAGAACTCTAGATCTCTACAGAACTGCTAGAACTGAATAGTTCCAGGAAGTGTCGACTTTTAAAGAGTTCTCACTTTAGGACCTCCTGATTGGTTGAAGCAACCAACAGGGGTGGTTCTAGGGATGTCAGAGGGTCATTACAAGTCAAGAAAACAGCAGGAATGTTTTAGGAACAGACCGAGAAATGTTTTGGAGAAATGACAGACTTACAGGTGCCAGTTTTCTTATTTACTGTCTGAGAGTTTTTAAAAACACGACACTTCGTTCCAATAACTTCCCTCTGACTTTTGACCGACATCACTACTTCTCATTTCAGACAGAAGATCAAAAATGCATAATTACTTTGTAAAATAGACATTTAACTTGATTTCTAATTTCAATGAGGATTAAAAAATCATTAATACTGTTTCACAGTTGATTTAAAATGAGTGGTTCACTTCAACATTTAAAAATGGTATGAACCATACACACTTTTGATTTATCAAGATATTGTAAAGTAGTAATGATAATATAAAAGAAGAGTGTTCTTTCAATTGATTACTTCTGGATACAATTAGACAGTCTCTGGATGAGCTAATTTGTATTTCTGGATTCAAATCAATGAAATAACAGTTCCTGTCCCATGAAGGTCTTCAGAGGCAGGTTTTGGTCAGAGGCCTAGTTCACTACACAGTAATCGTTGTTCAGTTGGATTTAGATCACATGTAATGTTTCTTCATTACATGCTTATGTTATCACTTCACCATTTGCTCTTGTCAAGGGCAGATGCCTTTCCCCTCCTCTCCTCTCCTATGCTTGGCTTTGCCCTGAACTGCCCTGATGGCATGCACACAGCTGGATATGTCTTTGATTCCTGTGGGAAGTGGATTGTTATGTGTCTACCTCTGCTGTCAATCGAAGACGTCAAAGATGCATATTTAATTGGATTTGTGATAACAGGTTTCCTTCTTTTTGGAATCAGCTGGTTCCTGGTTTATCAACATACAAAGAAGACAGCTGCAGCTAATTTGGCCCTGGTCAGGCTGCCGGTCTTATGTGATGGTTTGCTCCATGTCTCGAGCACCCAGACTCAATTGTTTAGTGAACTGAACTGTAAATTGGATGTGATTTGGGAGAATCACTGACCATTTGTGGCCTCTAGGACTCACTGGCACGATGGATCAGATCTCAAGGAATATTCTCAGGCACGGCCCAGCAGTGTGTCCACTTAATTTGGACATTTCGGAATCTACGTGAGACCAGCAAAGACTCAAGGCAGATATAAAACTATAAAGTTCTACCTGTCTCCAAAACATATGTTGTTTATCTGAATTCAGCCCCCTCAGCTGACCTTGGCAGGCCACCTTACCTCAATTTGCCTGGAGGGTCTGTAAATCTGATGCTCTGTCTCCTTCCCTCCCACCGAGGAAGTCTACGAACCTATCAGAGGGAAACTGGCTGAATAAGCGTCATCATTTCAAGACTTTTTCAATTCTCACTGGACGGAACTGGCTGATTATTCCATTCTTATCAGAACTCCTACAGTGCCTCCGAGAGCGTCCTTGGACACACTCAATGCCCTTGTTGTCTTCCCCTCCCCTGCAGAATGTGTACGTCACCATGTGCTTACGTGGGTGGGGTGTTTTCATGCTATCTTTCATCGACCATTGAGAGAGAGCCTGTTGGGATTTTTTTTTGTGTGTGTGTGTCCAAATCCTGCGTGTTGTTACTTTCACAACTTTTTGGTCTGTCTAGACAGGTCTTACTTGTAAAAGAGCCTTTGAGGCTCAGTGTGATTTCCATCCATCCATTATCTTTACCCGCTTCTTTCATTTTGGGTCACGGGGGTCACCAGTGCCCATGTCCAGCAATCACTGTGCAAGGGGCGGGGTACACCCTGGACAGGTCGCAAGTCCATCACAGGGCCACATAGAGACAAACAAGACAAACAACCATTCACTCTCTCGCTCACACCCAGGGACAATTTAGAGTTACCAATCAGCCTAACATGCATGTTTTTGGTCTGTGGGAGGAAACCGGAGAACCTGGAGAAAACCCACGCATGCACGGAGAGAACATGCAAACTCCACCCAGAAAGGCCCCCGGACCGGGATTTGAACTGGGGACCTACTTGCTGATTGGCAGCAGCTCTACCAGTTGTGCCACTATGCTGCTCAGTGTGATTTATCTATGCAAATAAAGGTTGAATTGAAAATTTTAAATCACGCATACAGTTTTAAATCCTACACAAAAATTTGTTGCACATTTTGAGGCTAACTAAAGGGAGTTAATGTGACACATCAATAAAAATGAGCTTGATTCTTATAACAGATATGCAATTAGTATAGACAGAGCTAACACAGATAACAAAGGAACTTGTTTTTACTGTTGTCACACTAGTTTATCTTCTCTTTTTAGTTGGAGTATGAGATAAAGACCAACATTTTTATATTATAATTTGAAACTTTTTTTAAATGCATGTTAGATTAACAAATAAAAGTTGATGACTTATTTCTTGCTCATGCAATGAAGTCTTCTTGCAATGTATAACAATTAGCATTTGATGTGAAATCAGATTTAGGGATCTAAGATATGATAAGTAATCAAACAAACATTTTCAAACCTACATTTGAAAGTAATATAAGATCAAACCTTTGTAAACAAATGTACGCTGTAAACACCAGGTTTGCTGAAGTAGGGTTCTGTGGAAATGTTTTAATGTAGGTGAAGCTTTAGTCAAGGGGATAATAGACAGCAGAACTTTATGACTTATTGATTCTAAAATCTAACAAAAAATCTTTGAGGTAAATCTGTTTGCTTCTAACATAGCGACTAACTAGCATCAGTTTTTTAAGAATGCGAGGGACTCTGATTTTGAGTCAAATGATTATTGTTTTCACTGAGAAAATACTTGGGGTGTATTTTCATTATAGGAACCTTGGGTAATCTAAAAACACAAATTAATGAGCAGACCACTGTATTTTAATGCGTTCATTTATTATCTATTCAACAATATTTCTTTTTGTTTGTGTTTTATTTAATGCATGAAAATAATTCCACTGGTAAACAAACACATACATTTTCCAACATTTGACTGCGCATTCAGATGTTCAGAGGTTTACAGTTTACCCTAACTTTTGTCTCTCTCTCTCATTCAATCATACACTCACAAACACACACCCAAATACTGTAGAGAAAAGCTTTCCAAATAAATGTACACTTGCTACTTTGCACACATGACCAGGGGAGATAGAATTCCTTTGCAGAGCTGTTGAGTCCATGAATACATTTGGCAAAGTTCCAGACTCTTTGAGTGTGCTCATTTCAAATCTGAAACCAATCATTGAGGAATGTCCATAAAAGTGAAGAAGACGTCCTGGTTAAGACACATGATCCTTAAGCAGCGGTTGAGACTTCTGTCTTGCTTGCTGAAACTGAGGTCTCGTCCTCCACCATGCCGCCCATTCCAACAGTGGATAGCATGCAGTTACGGAACTGAAAAACAAAGCAAGGAAAGCACTTTAGGACATCTCACATACATTTTGACATACTGTATAGAGAAATCTATAAAGTAGGCTAACCTGTTTGTTCATAAGCACATAGATGACAGGGTTATACAGTGCAGAGCTCTTTGCAAAGAAAGCAGGGATAGAAGCAGTCAAGGCAGTGAAAGCAGCTCCTTTATTCATAAAGATCCAACCAGCAAAGGTAGCATATGGAGTCCACGCTACCAGGAAGCCCAGGACCATCAGGACGCACATACGTGTTACTTCCTTCTCAGCTTTCTGGGTAGATGCTGAGTCCTGCTGCTGAGCTGCTGCCTGTGGAGTTTAGTTAGGTAAGATGTCAAACAAGAAAAGCTAAATTCACTCAGAAACTTCAGTTGATAGTTAAACCCTACTTACAGCTTTTACTGTCAAAACAAGGCTTCCATAAGTGAAGAAGATCAGGAAGACAGGAGTGAAGAAGTGAACGACAAACATGTAGATGACGTACGACTCATTGTTGAAGCCTGGAGCTAAGGTGTAGTAGTCAGGTCCACAGGAACACTGCATACCCTCAGGAATGTACCTGTAAAAGGTTTAAAATATATATTCAATTATTTATTCTAAGAAATCAAGAATTACCATTTTCATCTTTAAAATATGTGCTTTTTCATAATAAGCAATAAAACAATAAGTGCTATGTGTTGTCATCATTGTATATTCCCATACTATGGGGAAATTAGTTCTCTGTATTTTACTCATTGCACCTGGGATGCTCTCAGGTGGAGCAGTGGGCAGCTATGTAAGTGTCCAGCAATTAAGGATCGGGTGTCTTGCTCAGAGACACCACGGCATGTGGGAATGGCTGGGGATCAAACCTGGGACTTTAAGGTCCCGAGTCGGCTGATCTACCTCTGCCCCAATTACAGAAGTTATTCCCATACATATCAGTTCCCAAAACACAAGATAATTATAGCAGAGGCTTGTGACACAAAACTTTAGAGGTTTAAGTATAAAACCATTGCAGAAAACTATTTAAACAAGGGCATAACGACAATCCAAACAGACCTTACTGTAATATATTGTATTTTTATTCATATGGGTTCATTTAATTTTTTTACTGGTAACAATTCTAGAAAACATGGGCTAGTTTCAATCCTTTTATTTTAAACATGTTTTCTAAAGACTTTTTGGGAACCCTTATTAAATGTTTCATGACTCACAGTGGTATTCTGAACCAAACATTAGAAACCCATTTTCTAGAAACTTTACTGAATGGTTTGAAGTCCCTTTAAGCAATGTTTGTTTTAAAAATATAGGATTTTACCTGGACCACCCAAAAAGTGGGGGTGCAGCACAAGCAAGAGCCATGAACCAGGTGAAAAGGACTCCAGCTCCAGCATGGGTTCCGGAGAATTTGAAGCTCCCCATGGGTTTGCACACAACAATATACCTTTCAATAGCCAGAACAACCAGGGACCAGAGGGAAATTTGCCCTGCAGGGATGGAAAACATAGAGACACGCTTTACTTTTACTGCTGTTAATTGTACACATATAAAAATATAATAATAACACAGTTTATGATTCCTAAACAATTGTTTATTTATCTGAATTATCTTGCTTCTTTTGTGTTACCTCCAAGTGTGGCCAAGAATCCTTCAATAGTGCACGTAGTGGGTCCAAGAATGAAATAGCCATTAAAAGCAGATGTGAAAGTGATGGTGAAGCCGAAGAGGCACATGATAAGTCCAGCTACAGCCAGGTTCACCAGGATGTAGTTGAGAGGCTGACGGAGCTTCTTGTTCTGAGCCGTTACAAACAATGTCAGTCCATTGATGGGAGTCCCAGTGCAGATCAGGAAGAACATGTAGAAAGCTAGACACTTGTAGACCATTGAATCCACCATATAGTACTGAGGGTATTCAAAAGGGCTTCTAACAATTCCAGTCCTGTTGGACATGGGAATGTAGAAGTTGTTGCCCTCAGTGCCATTGGCATAATATTCTCCATCCCAACCCATCTTTAGTTGCCTTCTTTCCTAGAATTCTAGTTATTGAAGAAATGCCAACAGTGTCAGAGCAGCGATAGCCAACCCTACATTCATAGTTAATGTTGATGTGGCTGTTTTATACCTGGTCAGGGTTAACCTCAAATTAAGAAAATTAGATTAGGGGTGGATTGTGGGGAAGTGAACAGCTCAAGTCTGACTGATAATTGACTTTAAGAAAGCATCACTGGGCAATGACCTTAAGGCGAATCTGTTTGGCATCCAGCCAACATTTAAGAAGATGTTTAGGTATCCTGATGCATGTTCATTAATCCAGGTAGAAACAGTATATTAGCACACATGACCTGAAATACAGGTTTTAAATCTATTATAGCAATCAGAAGTTGCAGATAATGCATTAGTTGACACACAGTTACAGCATACAGTACATCTGACTGAGAGACTGTTGTAAGCATATAGTCCCTATTTAAAGGCTGATAGTGGATTTCACTGCTGAGAAACACCACAAAATAATTCTCCTGCAGGTGACTGTATCATCTCTGCAATAAAACATTACTGCAATCATGTTCTTAAAACTAGAGTTTCTCAATACTAAACAGAAAACAGAAAACACAGTAGAAACATTTAAATTTCCAATAAAATAGAACAATATGAGCATTATGCTTAGTGTGACTTCACGCTTGTGTCTGCAATAGCTCAGTAGTTAGTTTGCTTATGTGACCGCTACAGAAGGGAGCAACCGTACAAAAACAACAACAGTTTGACTTCATGCTTGTTTAAGGATGCAGAGCACCTAAAGGTTGTTTATCACAGCACCCCCACTCTTACTTTCTACCCAATTCACCCTGCACTAAACCCTAACTACTCACCTCACAGGTGGTGGGTTGACATGGAGATAACATCCTGCATTTTCCAGGCTAGACCTGGCTGATCCTTCAGTCGAAACAGCCTGGCGCTCACTGTGAGCTTTGCATTACACAGTTATTTACATAGAATTCTATGTTTATTGTTTGCAAGCATGACGGCTCAGTGGTTAGCACTGTTGCCTCACAGCAAGATGGTCCTGAGTTCAATCCCCCAGTTGGACTTGGGGTCTTTCTGTGTGGAGTTTGCATGTTCTTCTCGTGCTGGCGTGGGTTTTCTCTGGGTACTCCGGTTTCCTCCCATAGACCAAAATCATACATGTTAGGCTGCTTCAGGCCCAGGCCTCCCTTGCAAAAAGAGATCTGTGATCTCAATTGGATTTGCCTGGTTAAATAACTGTTAAAAATAAAACTAGTGTCAGCAGCAGCAGCTTTCTGTAGCAATTCAGGTGTAGCACAGACCATTTTCATCCATTCATGTCACCTGAACCACTTCCACTGAGAATGCTGTTTGAATTATTGTTTTTCCAAAACTGGCAGCAGTGTGAAGATTTATAAAATAGTGTTTACATGAACTATGACTTTTCTGAGACTGTAGTTGTTTCAAGACTGCAGCAAATCATTTTGTTTTTTTGGACCCTCTCAGATAAGCCATTTTAAGTAAATAGTTTGGTTTTGAACAATTCAGAATTAAGGGAAGGTTAGGCTGAGATTGCTGAGATTACAAAAGCAAATGCATTTACAATATGTAAGTTCACTTGAAAAGATCTTAAGTATCACATCAGGTAAATATTCAAATGTATTGTTCCTCTTTATATTTTTACCAAATTGATGCAAACAATTTTGTGACAGAATCTTTTCAAGGATTCAAGGTTCTTTATTTGTCATTTGCACCACATGTGGTACATGTGGTGAAATGAAATTATGTACACAGGGTCCCAGTTGCATCCAACAATAAAATGTAAAAGAAAAACAATAATAAGATTTAAGATATGAACTAAGAAAAACATCAACTAAATATACAATAAGCACTAATAGCATAAACACATTACGCCGAACAGCAGCACAAACACGAGTCTGTATGAGCAGACGAGCACGCATGAACACAGCAACATGAAACAGATCAGCAGCAACATGATGTAATTTTTTTCACAGTTATTATCCTGATTAGAGATTCATGAGTCTAACAGCCTCAGGGTAGAAGCTGTTCCTCAATCTAGTGGTTCTACACTTAATGCTCCTTAACTTCCTTCCTGAGGGAAGCGGGGCAAAAAGTGTCTGTGCTGGGTGAGTGGGGTCCTTCATGATGCAGGTGGCCCTCTTCCTGCATCTAGAGGTGTAAATGTCTGTGATGGTGGGGAGACTGACTCCAACAGACTTCTGTGCAGCCTTCACCACTCTCTGCAAAGCTTTTCTTTCTGCAGCTGTGCAGCCTCCATGCCACACATTGATGCTGGAACACAAGATACTCTCCACTGCACACCTGTAGAAGGAGGTGAGGACTGAGCTTCCCAGACCAGCTTGTCTCAGCCGGTTGAGGAAGTAGAGTCTCTAATGAGCTTTCTTGATCAGGCTGGAAGTGTTGTTGCCCCAGCTGAGGTTGTCATTCAGGTGAACACCCAAGTACTTGTAGCTGGAGACCACTTCCACTGCAGATCCTCTTATTTTTATGGGGGTGTAGGTGTGTTTGTTCCTTCTGACATCCACGATCATCTCTTTTGTCTTCTTCACATCAATGTGAAGGCATAGGCATTGCAACCATTATATGTGAAGGGGACAAGTCCCCCCCACATTAAAAAAATGTTCATTTGGACACCCCCCCCCCCCCCCCACACACACACACACACACACACACACACTTTTACTATGAAACATTAGTTCAGGCGGTGCAGTTTCTCTTTCTTTGTGAACAAATCCATTCCACTTGATCAATAGGAGAATACTCAAGCCACTAAAACTCCACTCCAGGTTTTCCTGGTTACCTCCAACTCTACACACAGAGCAGAAATTGTGCAAGCAGCAGCTGCTGAGTCTTCTGCTTCGGCAGACAACGCACAAAGGTGGAGGAGATGGCGACACCTCTGTGTTGCTCGCTCGCCAGTTTAGCGAGCTTAGTGCAGGCAGTTGTTGGCCAGGGGTGCTACTCATAAACATATATTCATGGTAGGAGGATGCTTGAGAGGAGCGCTACATCTGTAGCATCTTAGCTTAGCAGTAACTGACGCTGTAAGACACTGCAAGTGTAAGAGACGCTGTGTGTTGAGGTGCATTAAAGTTGAAATGTCTTTAAAACCCCACACCTTATTGTCCTCAAGCTTCATTAGAAACATAATTTAGATGAGTAGTGTTGAACACAAGTAAAAAAGTCCAGTGGTGATGTTTTTTTTATTTCTCTATGAAGACAAATAGTGCCGATCTGAGGCTCTGTGTTAAAGTGTATTAAAGTTAAAATGTCTTTAAAACCCACAGCTGAATTTACACAAACTTGATGAGAAACATGCTTTAAATGTGTGGAATTAAAGGAAATATAGGTGAAATGCTGCTTTTTTTTGTACATTAGTGTACACTTCTTTGAGCGCACATGCGCGTGTGTGCACACACCTACACACATCATTGTGTCCCCCCCACATTATGGATGCTTCTGACGTCCTTGTGTGAAAGCTATTCTCTTTGCACCAGCTCTCCAGGTGTTCCACCTCATGTTGCTGGACTCGTCATTGTTTGTGATACATCCCACCACCATTTATCATCTGCAAACTTTACAATATGTCAGCCTGGATGGGTAGCTGCACAATCATGTGTGAGCAAAGTGAATAGGAGAGGCCTCAGCACACATCCCTGAGGAGAGCCAGTGCTGAGGGTTATGGTGGAGGACGAAAAGTTGTGAATCCTCACAGACTGAGGTCTGTTTGTTAAGAAGTCTAGGATCCAGTTGCAAATAGAGGGGCTTAGCCCTAGTGTGAGTAGTTTGTCCATCAGGGTATGGGGGATCATGGTGCTGAAGGCAGATGTGAAGTCCACAAAGAGCATACGGATGTAGGAGTCCTTCTGCTCCAGGTGGTTGAGCGCAGTGTGGACCACAGAGATGGCATCCTCTGTTGAGCGGTTCTCACGGTATGCATACTGATGAGGGTCCTTGTTGATGTTGATGGTTGTTTTGATGTGAGTCATGAACAGTTTTCCGAAGCATTTAGCGATTATCAGGGTGAAGGCCACTGGCCAATAGTCATTCAGACCATTCACTGTAGAGCTATTTTGGACTGGGATGATGGTGGCAGTCTTCAGCCAGGTGGGAACTGTCTCCAGGGTAAGTGAGGTGTTAAAGATGTCAGCCAGCTCCTCACAGAGCTGATCGACACATTCTTTCAACACTTTCCCCGAGGATGTTGTCTGGGCCGGTTGCCTTGTGCGGATTAATCCTCCTGAAAGTACTCCTTACTTCTGCTCGGGTCACGCTGAGTTTCTCTTCATCCAGTGGTGAGGTGAGTCTGGTGCTGGGTGGTCTGTTCGCGTCTTCAAAGCGTGCATAGAACTTGTTGAGGGCATCAGGCAGTGATGGGTCTTTGGAGCACTGTTCATTCCTGCCTTTGTAATCTGTTATACACGTAATGCCCCTCCACATGCTCCATGGATCTTGTGAGGTGAATTGACCCTAGATCCTATGTGCATATGTGGCCTTGGCCCTCTTAATACCAGCAACCAGCTCTTTCCTTGTCCTTCTCATCTCATGTGAGTTTCCAGACCTGAAGGCAGTGTTCCTGGTTTCCAGCAGGGTGCGAACCTCTGCATTCAGCCAAGGTTTTCTGTTCGGGTACCTTTTAACATATTTTAAGGTAGAGACGTTGTCAGTAAATGTACTAATGTACCCCAGAATTGAGAATGTGTATTGGTCAAGATCTAGTGCTCCATCATTTTCAGCAGCTCCTCTGAAAACCTCCCAGCCTGTTCTTTCAAAACAATCTCTCAGTATGGGGCCACTGTCCTGGATCCAACATTTAACTTTTAAAAGCACACTATGTATTTTTTTTGTAAAATACACTTTTCTGGATAATTTATCACAAGTTTCTTCTCATTTTCAGCACAACTCTTCAAATTTGAGGGTCATTCTTTACCTCCAGCTGATTTATGACAGAAGTCATGTTGTGTAACAAATTAAAATGGGAATTTTGAGTATACTGTATTAGTAAACCAATTAGGAGTTTAATGTTTGTGTAGATTTAACATT